CTTAACTGGGTTAAAAAAGTTTTATTGATTTTCTAAAATGTTATAACTAAAATACATTCATAAAATTTTTAACATTTTAGAAAATCAATGAAATTTTTTGAATGCAGTTTGTCTGGTCTGACCCTTTTTTAAATTTTAAGTTTTGGTCCTATCTTGTTGGAAATGGTTTTTTACATTCTAATCACATGAGGAGGTATTAGATTTGATGAAAAATTGACTTTTTATACCTCAGGTTGAATGAAAATGGCGACCTTTTTTTCCCATGGACAAAAAAAACAGCTAGTCCTATGCGTTATTTTTGCTCATGGAAAAAAATGCCGCCATTTTCATAGAAGTCGAACAAGTGAATGAGTTTTACTCCCTGTCGTCTGCTATCTTAAATCGCCACTTTTGTGCCTTTGGAATAAAAAATATCGTAAGTTACACGGGACTTAAAGGCTGCCTTTACGGTACCTTGTTGCTTAATATACTATTTGCTAATTTTATGAAATCTTTGCGTTTTGAGGTGCCCTGAATCCAAGAAACATTGTCTGTCGATTACGTCTGTCTGTCTGTCTGTCCGACGATAACTTTTGAAAAACTTAATTTTTTCAAAAACTTTTTTCGAATTTTTGACTTTTTGTCTCAGCTTAGTGGAGGTGTTTTACTTTTGCTTGTTAAAACGATGGGTAAATATCACATTCACTGTATCCAAATTTACATGTTTTTAATCATACACTTGATATATATTTACAAATCACGTATATAGGGAAAACGGGACATAATGGCTAAGGGGCGTAATGAATAATTGTAATTTATTTAAAAATCGTAAATCGAAATGATTTCACTCCTAAGACAACTTGATGTACTGCAAGTTTCTACAAAGGTTGATTATTTATTATTCAATAACTATTGTAAGAAATATAGTAGAAAATCTGTATTTCACATATGAAAGTAACTTTTCAAAATTTTCATTTTTTCATTCTAATTTTTTTAAAATAACTTTAAAAAAGAAACTAAAATCGCGTTTTAAGCTTGAAACATTTTTTGAGGGTCAATTTTAGATTTTTGATTCACACTTACTGTATTGATAAAAATTACAAAATATTTCCTAAGTACCCCTAGGGCGTGTTGGCTAATGCAACACGCTATGTATAACCCGTGTAGAAATTTACCGTGGAAGTGTATGAGAAACTGTCCAGTTGCGCTAGATTCAATCTAGCAACTAGATGGGAAAAATGGACAGGCTTGAACGAGGGATGTAACACTAGCAACGTCAAGATTTTGTACAGTTATTTTGTCTAGTCCTTGTCTAGTAAAATAAATCATTCCTAGCCAGTTCCTGGATATTAAAATAAGCAGTTTCTACATACTGGGAATAATTGTTAGGTTTATAAATAATAGAACAATATTTTTCAACTTTACTCTTTTGTTTGTTTAACTTTTAAACAAACAAAACAGTAATACAAAAGTATTTGTTATTATCACAATTCCTCTTACAATTATTTTTGAAATTAATTGTAACATATTTTGCTACATTGGATTTTTTCTTTAAAACACAAACACATTCACTATAAAGATTCGTACTTGTATACAGATAATAAAATTAATTGTATATTATATTGTTGCAATCACAAAAAATTTACTTAAAATTACCAAAGTTTTATTACTTATTATGAACATTATAATATGAAAAACAATCTAGACTATTAATGATGACATCACATGTCCTTTTTCTAATAAATCTTTTTTTCGCTGTAATATATTTAAACTTGTACACTGTCCCTGTTCAAAAATGGAAAACTGAAAACTTTTCACTAGATTTATAAATTTGATTTTATCTTCACAACAAGATAAGTTACAATTGTAGACTCTTGGTTTCTTTTCATCAAGCACTACGTCAAGAACTGATTTCGTCTGCTAGCTTAGTAGACTCTCAGAGCCACCTTCTCCACGAACTTGTACTAAATTCTTAAGTCAGCGTCCTAGACAGTGCCCAGCTAATTCTTGGACAACCTGCTATACGAACTTGTACTGAATTTTCAATTCAGTATCCTAGACAAATTTTAGCCAGATTCTAGACTGTCTTCATAGCGAAGAAAATAAAGGGGAAAACTGTACATTAACATTTCGGGGCCAGGACAGTTTATTCAGAATAATTTTCCACGACAAATGCTATCTAGCTGTAGTCTATTTCTAGGAAGGCCACGACAAATTTCTACACGGGAAAGAGCAATACCTACGATACCGACGAAGTGTACGTTCATTGTAGAAAAAAAGTAAGCGTAATATAGGGACTTTCGACTTTTTAAAAGAAAGCTGAGGTACTAGAGTAACTTTTCTAGGTGATAAACACTTAATTAAAACAAAAATGTCCGTGTAAATCAACAAAGAGTGAAAAGTTAGCCATTACGCTCCGGTCTACACTACACAAAAACCTTGATACTAATACTTTAAGAATATTTTATCTGCTTCTGCAAATAATATTTCTACTAAGAGTTAGTATAATTAAAAATAACTTCACAATTTAAATCATCAAGACCAAAAATATACATTTAAATCCACTTTATCTCGCAATCATCAGCAAACAAAAACATGTGATGAGAATGTAATCCTTAAAGTCGTAGTAACTTTAAGAAAAAAAAATGTTTTACGAAACATATAATAGGAAACAAGAACAAGAACACAGATAATGCACAACAATTGCAGACCGCCGCAAGCAAAGCGAGCCATTTGCGCGCAACAACACACGGAGCGCGAAGCGCGACGTGTGGAATAATCGCCGGAGCGCGAAGCGCGACGATCAATATTCGCGCGCCCCGAGGCGCGCTGAAACTTGCGAGCGAAGCGAGCCCCCGCGCGAAGCGCGGATGAGAATGTGTCCGCGCTTGCGCGGACAGATTTTTTTTTATAATATCCACCGCCATATTGGATCGGACATTTTAAAAATCTGACCTCATATTGGTAATCAGCGACTCGAAAACTGTTGGAATACTGAGTATCAGGATGATTTGCCTAAATTTCTATATTTCGACCACCATATTGGATCGGCCATTTTGAATTTTGAAAATCTGACCTCAGATTCGTAATCAGTGGCGAAAATAACCTTGGAGTATAGACTTTCATAAAAATAATTCCTTTTAATATGCATTTATAAGGATTTTTGTCGTTTGATCGTCCATATTGGATCGGCCATTTTGAATTTTGAAAGTAGCAATGCAGATTCTTAACGAGTTTAGGCCTGAGTCCCAAAATATACCTTTAGCAACATTTCTAGAATTTATTTGTGCAAATTGTTGCAGTTTAAATGTTCATAACTTTTAAAAAATACAAAAATAACCAAATTTAGGCCCTTAGAGCACAGACGCCATTTTAAATTTTGGAAATGCGGCAAGGGTTTCCAATTCCGTGATACTTGAAGCTTCATGCCACCAAAGTGCATTTATTTTCATTAAAAATTGACGTGGTTACAGAATTTTGACGCCTCTTACTACATTTTGCCTCACTGTGTGTCCCCTGTTTTGGTTCCGCATCTCAGCACAGATAGCTTGGTTTTCCTTAAGAAGACTAGAGACAGGAGGGCTAACTCGGCTGTTTTCTCACTCACAGCAGTGAGTCAGTATTAGTGGGATTATGAAGGCGTGGTTAGGTTGCGCCAAATATCTTGTTTCGTTTCTGCACATCTCGCACACTCTTACTCTTACGTTATATATTTAAATACGTGAGACGCGTGTGTGTGTGGAAGTGCAGAATCAAAACACGATATTTGGCACAATCTAACCATGCCTTCATAATCCCCCTATATTTGTCCTACCCCGACTACTGCAGATAGCCCTTCTGTCTCTAGTCTTCTTGGTTTTCCTCATCACGACCATTCTCAAACGTATTTTATTTTCTATTATTATCTTTGTTTTCTTCACCTTGTGTATTATGAAAAATTTGTCCTGAGCTAACCACCTCTTGACGCCAATTTTTATATCGATCTTCGTCATTGTTTCCTGGCCTAAATTACGAATTTGCTCGCTGTTTAGTATTAGTTCTAGGCTTTTATAGGCTTAAAAAGTTGCAAAACTCTTCTGATCAGCGGTGGACAAGGTTTTTTAAATGAAATAATTTTTTAAATTAGTGACTGACCAGAGTCTGAAAAGAAATTCTTATTGCGATTAAGTTCATTAAAAGGCTGGCTTACAAAAATTGAAGAAAGCATAGTTCGTTTTTCGAAAGCCTTTTTAAAATTGAAAAAATTGAATAAAATTATATTTGTAACTCTATTCGAACAAAGGTACCTTAAAAGCAAATAATTTAGGTCATATTTGTAATTTTTTTAATGAAAATACACAAAGGGGATTAACTCAATATAAATCAATTATTCTTAAGTCTTCATTACATCTAAATAGTTAACAAAATAACTTATTTTAATTCTACACAATTAAACAGAAACTTTTAACCCTTAAAGCGCACACTTATGTACCATCCTTAAATCCATCCTTAAACCGCGCATTAGGTGTGCGACACCCGGGGACTTTAAAGTGTGTTCTCCAAGCTGGAATAGGATATTATGTTTTGGAAAAATTATCTTATATAGCTCAGTACATCAATTTTGAAGGAAAATAGGTTTCATAATAATTTACTTAATCTTAATAATTAAAAAAAGTTGTTTAAAACTACTGAAATTACCTTAAATCGAAAACTGGGTGTCAGACACCCAGAAATTTTTCACCGTCAACTTCATAAAGTTATCAAATACACAAAGACACTTAGGAGACTGATATCACTCACGGAACATAAAGTTAACAAAGTTAAGTACAAAATGTACCGTCCAATAGCGACACATGTTTAATTTTTACGAATTTAAACGAGATATTAGAGTAAAAAGCTAGAATATGGGTGTCGCACACCCAGGGTGCGCTTTCAGAGTTAATTAAGGTAAAAATAACATAAATATAACCTAAAAATGATTTGCTTCTAAGGCACCTTTCTTCGGAGTGTGTCATATTTATTTGTGTATTTAATTTTTACAGCAAAGGAAGACTTTGGGACTTTATAAAATCTCATTATAAAATAAGTATTTCCACAGATACTGTGAGAAGGAAACACATGCGATCGTTTAGTTGTGATGCAATAATTCATCCAAATACGGAGAAAAAGTGCGAAAACCAAAATATATTATTAAACTTCCAAGAGGAACAAAATTGCAAAAAATTACAAGAGGCTAATAAACAATTTGATGCAAAAATTTATGTTACGGATATCTTCAGTCATTCTGAAAAACTAAATAATATGTCAATCTCTGCAGATTCTAGTCACGATGATATTCACACTACACAATTGTTATTAAAAGCGCAAACATTACTTCAGTCCGTTAGTGCAACTTTAAGAAAGAGTAACTCAATCGCGACTAGATTAAATGATTCTCAACAGTTGCTTTATAGTACAAATGAAATCACGACTTTGAAATATTCTACTTCTCAAAAATTAATTGAAGAATCAAAGCATAGCAATTCTGATTTAAAAGATTTAAAACATAATTCAATTGTAGATTCTAAAATACTGTCATTAGACGAAAGCAATTTAAAATCCAAAAAGTCGTCATTGAATGAAGAAAGAGTAGATCACAATATTCTATTATCAAGGGATGCATCTTTAGATACAGCAATAAATAAATCTCTTCATTCGTCAGATTTAGGAACTTACCAATTTAATGTTTTTAACATGACAGGAGAAAGAAAAGAAAAAAATGAATGTATTGTACAATTTTTTCAAAATATTCAAGACAATTTGACACCTGAACATTTTAATTATAGAAATAAATTAGAAAATAAAGCCGGCAATGATAATCTCTACGGTGGGGAAGAAATTTTATGGAAAATTTCCGATGAAGTATTGCAATTGTGGTCGGCGCAAATTTTAGTCGCTTTAGAATCACTTCATCAGCAAGATACAATCGTTGCAGATTTAAGACCTGAAAATATTTTAATTAGTGATGAAGGAAATACAATAATGTGTTACATTCCACCTAGACGAAATTTTAATATAGCAAAATTTAAGGAACCCTATTCTTCTCCTGAATTGTGTGCTTTTGCACCTCCATTACTTCCAACAACTGCTGTTGATGTCTGGAGTTTTGGAGTTTTGCTTTATGAATTGTTTACTGGCTTAGTAAGTATTTGTTTTGTATTTTCGTATTGTTATAAATTCTTTTTTATAAATTTATTTTTCCTTCAATGCTACTTTTATTGTATTGGGTTAAATTAATTTTTTAAATCAATTATTTTAATTTTTATTAGTTGTAACTTTAAATCAATACAGAAATTACTTTTTTATTTGCCAAATATTATTTTTTCATAATTGATACTTTCCGTTGTATTAAAATCAGTTATACTTTAATTTTAGAAATTCCAATCGAAACATTCCGGAGAATTTCATTCACATTCTTCTGTTAACATTCCCGATGGATTAATGGAAAACGCCAAATCACTTTTACTTAGCGTAAGTCTTTTGAGTGATTAACTTATTATTTTAAAAAAATACCAGTCTTTATTATCACGATTTTTTGGTAAAATCAAATGTCGAAAACCAATCAAAATATAATTAAAACTTGTAAATTTTGTATTTTTTGTCAGATTGATACGAAACTATCCGTAGCTAACTTTTTTTAGATAAATAGAACCTAAAATAGACTGAAAGAAATATTCTTATAATATTTAATAAATTCTGAACCAAAATTTTGGTATTCTCGTTTACAATTATTGTAGGACATTCGGGATTTGTATTAGAAATTAGTCTCTTCTTTTGCAGCATTTTATCCTCTTACATATGGGCACTAAAGTTTTCCTTTCTAATTCAGAGGATTTTCCACTTTTATATTTTCCATTAAATGTCACTTTTTAAACAGTTTGAAGCTGCGTTCAGAAAAACAAAAACAACTTAATCTTCTTCCTAGTAAAAATTTGTTTAAATTTTAAAGGAATAATTTCAATCAAAAAAGAAAGGTTAAAATTCATATTTTAGTTAAAAAATTTTCAAATAGAAACAAAAATTCCTCTTTTTTGTAGATGAATATTCGTATATTGAAAATAAAATGTAAAAATAATTGTTAAGTGGAATTTTCTTCTCACTTTGAGATTTTATTTTTTTCGCTGTGCTACATAAAAATTGCTAAGTCGCATGAAGAAATAGATGCCGGATCGCGCTAATATTACAATTTCTTATTTCTCCAGATTACTTCAGTGATATCCACTTAAATGTTTGAATATGGTTTCTTTTATTGTTTAAGTAACATTCCGCGTCGAAAGGGAGCGTTCACAAATGATGTCACGCTTTTAGAGGTAGGGGGGGGGATTCTCTACTAAACGTGACACAATGTATTTTTATTATGTGAAATTGCAAAAATTGCGTGACAGGGGGAGGGGAGGTCGAAAATCTCAAAAAATTGCGTGACATCATTTGTGAACGCTCCCAAAAGGAAGTTTGGGCAAAATCCAGCAAAGTTTATCAAAGTACAAAATAGTATGGGCAAAGTAAAGTAAAGTACGGCTTATGAGCGTTTCCCATACTTCGGAATATACGTGGTTAACAACAATATTTAAAGTACGGGGACAATTCGGCAAAGTACGGGAACAAGAAAATTGGGTATTCAGGAGTATTTTCGAATGAAGAACTACACCAATGTATTGGAGGCAAGTTTTTTGGATATGTAAAATCAAAAAATTCAAGTTCTAAATTTGTGAAGTTCGAGGCAAGTACGGGAAAGTACAACAAAGTATGGGATATTGCAAAAAGGGTTTTTTGGGAAATATTAAGTCTGGAAATTAAAATTCTGAATTTTTGGAGTTTGGTAAAGTACAGAAAAGTATGGGAGAGTAAAAAAAGGTTTTTTGGGAAATATTAAATAAGAAAAAAAATCTGAATTTTTGGAGTTTGGCAAAGTACAGCAAAATATAGGAGAGTAAACAAGGGTTTTTTGGGAAATATTACATAAGAAAAAAAATCTGAATTTTTGGAGTTTGTCAAACTAGGGGAAACTAAGATTTAAAAAATAGATTTTTGGAAAATATTATATCTGAAAATTAAAATTCTGAATTTTTTAAGTTTAGCAAAGTACGGAAAAGTACAGCAAAGTATGGGAGAGAAAAGAAGGGTTATTTTTGTAATGTTAAGTCTGAGAATTAGAATTTTGTCTTCTTGGAGTTCGGCAAAGTACGGGAAATTACAGCCAAGTATGGGAAAGTAAAAAAAGGGTTTTTTGAAAAATATTAAGTCGTAAATTAAAATTCTGTCTTTTTGGAGTTCAGCAAAGTACGGAAAAGTACAGCAAAGTATGGAAGAGTAAAAAAAGTTTTCTTTGGAAATATTAAAACAGAAAATTAAAAATCTGAATTTCTGAAGTCAGGCAAAGTACAGCAAAGTATGGGAGAGTAAAAAGGTTTTTTGTGAAATATTAAATCAAAAAATTAAAAATCTAAATTTTTGAAGTTCGGCAAAGTACTTTCCCGTACTTTTCCAAACTCTAAAAAGACAGAATTTTAATTTTCAGATTTAATATTTCCCAAAAAACTATTTGTTTACACTTCCATACTTTGTTGTACTTTCCCGTACTTTGCCAAACTCCAAAAATTCAAAATTTTAATTTTCGGATATATAGTATTTCCCAAAAAACAATTTTTTAAATCCCTCACACTTTGCTATACTTTCCCGTCCTTTGCCGCACTCTAAAAATTCAGAATTTTAATTTTCAGAGTTAATATTTCCCAAAAAACCATTTTTTCAATATCCCATACTTTGCTGTACTTTCCCGTACTTGCCTCGAACTTCGCAAATTTAGAACTTGAATTTTTTGATTTTACATATCCAAAAAACTTGCCTCCAATACATTGGTGTAGTTCTTCATTCGAAAATACTCCTGAAAATCCAATTTTATTGTTCCCGTACTTTGCCGAATTGTCCCCGTACTTTAAATATCGTTGTTAACCACGTACATTCCGAAGTATGAAAAACGCTCAAAAGCCGTAATTTACTGTACTTGCCCATACTATTCTGTACTTTGATGGAATTTGCTGGATTTTGCCCAAATTTCATTTCCACGCGTAATGTTGTAATTGGTTACTTCGATAAGATCTTAATTTTCATTGGTTCGAAAATTGTGAATTGTGCCAATGTATGAAATATCCCTTATACCCAGATGAAAATAATTTTTACGAATTGTGTACGGAATTCGTTCAAAAAAAGGGTTAAATTGCGATAGAAATTCGTGTGCCATTTTGGAACATTTCTCGTGCGAATTCCAGGTGGAAAATCGGATACAGCACTAATAAAAAACATTCCACACGGAATTCTGATCTGACCACTTTTCCGAACCAATTCTGCACGAAATTCGGACGAATTCCTAACGAATTTTTCAGGAGGGTAAGAATTCTTGAAGTGGCCTCCAATTTTCTTTAAAGTAAGGAACATAAATGATACCTACTATCGGGTCAAAAAGTATAGGCTCCTCACTTTGAAAGCTTATATCTTAGGTAGAAAAAATCGCATTACATTAAGACTACCAGTAATGAAGATCTGCACTGTACCTACGTTCCTTATATAAAATAAGCTTATATCTCAGGTAGAAAAAATCGCATTACATTAAGACTACCAGTAATGAAGATCTGCACTATACCTGCGTTCCTATACGCAATGGCGGAAAACAGAACAATTTTTTGCATTAGTTATTGATTTTTAAAGGTGAAAAATACACGGTTTTATGAAGGGTCCACTTTGAAAGGGTGTAGTTTCTATAATATACATATAACCTATCGAGATGCTGAATTTTTTCCATAATGTTTGAACCCTTCTTAAACATATTGCATAAACAAATTATTATTTTTTCATTGACTTTCCGAGATTATTTAAAACAAAGATAAAAAGCTATCTTTTATGGGAATAATTAACAAAATTTAAATTATTATAATTTAATTATTATTATTATTTTAATTACAATTTTGCTAATGAAACAATAAAAAGAATTTGTATAAGAAATTGATCCAAAGAATCAATCATGAAATAGTTTTCAATTTTTTGTTTTATTACTCCCATTAAAGCAAGGTGCAGGCCGTCATGAACCCTTTTGTCAACGCCAGGGAGCTCAGGTAATGGCGGCCAACGCGGCATGATGCTGACCCTTTTTTCACTACTTTTCTATTCTATTCTTAAACTTGTTATTTACAACTTTAAAGACTTCCTTGAAATAATCTTGCAAGGGTATAGGGCTACAAGAGGCTCAGAATGGGAAAAGGATTTCCAAATTAGAAATATGTTCAGACCATCACTGTCGATATAGTACAGTCAAATTAAACATTTTGCTCTACATTAATTAGAAGTGTCGGTTTTTTCTTTAATAAAAAGAGGTCCATAGAGTTTTAATGTGAGTATTCGGCCTCCGGGGGTGATAACTTTGTCCGTCATATTAAAAATAGGGATGAAATTTTGTTTTGCTAATAGCTCATAAAATTTGACTTTTACGCAAAAGATTGCAGACAAAAATTTTATAGACAATAAAATTCCCTATAATATTTATAAGAACTATTTTTCAAAAAAGTTATTACTTTTCATATAATGTTACAAAATGTAAATAGTTAGGGGTGGAAAGTAACATTTTTACAATTTAAATATTTTTAATAAAAATAGAAGGGATCAAAATAATAAACAACTTTAAAGTTTACTTTTTTTCATACGATAATTAGGTACGGCCGAAGAACGCTTCAAACTTTGCAAATACCAAGTCTCCATTACACATGAACACCATAAAGAAATTATGTAACCCACTTTTAGGAAAATACATTAATGAAACATGACAATTCTTTTTTAACAAAAAGGAGATTATTTACTCTCTAAAACTGAATCAGCGAAATTTAACTGAGAATCAGTGACTCTATTCTTGCGATTTGAATCAGTGAAATTTCACTGAAGATCAATTAAAAATCATTGAAATTTCAGTAATTTTTCACTGATTGGCCAATTAGAAAATAACTCAAATTTGCAATTTATGTGACAGAAATTTTCAGTAGTTTTTTAATTCGCGAATTACTAGAAAATGACTGAAATTTCAGTTATTTTGAACTAATTTTCAGTGAAATTCGTCTGATTCAAATCTCGAGAATAGAGTCACTGATTCAGATTAGGAGAGTATAGAGTCTACATTCAAGTTTTCGACCCCCAATTTGTAGAAGATAATTTTATGGAGCACAAAAACACTTACAATATTTAAAAGAACTATTTTTTTTAAAAAGTCATTATTATTCATGTAATGTTGCAAAATTTAAATAAGTTGGGTTTGAAAAGTGATACTTTTACAATTTTCGCAAAAGACATCCAAATTATGACGAAATACTTTTAATTAAAGTTGAAGAGATCAAAATAATAAACAACTTTAAATTCTATTTCTTTTAACAGTAATTTGATACGGCTGTGGAAAATTAAAAAATTCGCAAATATCGGTTGATCGTTACACA